ATTTAGTTTAATACAGTGCGCCGAAATAAATGCATACTCTTCACATTTAGTGTTTACGTTAAATAACTGAAAAGAATGATTCAAAACAAAAGTGACATTGAGAATGATTATAATCAAATACAAGTTAGTTTTTAATCTTTTTGACTTTAATAGTCTGCTTTCACAAATTAGGTGGCATCAACATTGGCAATCAAAATATTACCTGGTTTAATTTAACATTCCATTAACAAAACTCAAACACCTAAGTTAATATGTAAATTTTAATGTGAAACCATGTTTAGTATCCTATACAATTACGTTAAAAATGCACGCTTTGTAAATGTACAAGTCAAATAAGGAAAAGGTGCACATTACAAAATAAATATGCTTAGGTAAATGTAATGTATTGCACACATAATTCAGGTGTAGGATCCTTAAATAAATGCAGTTTACCAAATATTACAGTGAAATTCAAATGCTATGGCGTAATAGACATTACGATCTTTAGAAAGTGTTCGAGGTACAGTATGTACTGCATAATGGTGAAAGTCATAGCACGCACTTGTCAAATGTATGTATGTATATATGTATTTTGCATTTCGAATCGGATTAATCCGACTTTTTCCAGCTAACGGTATTCCCCATTCTAAGTCCTGTTTTCATTCATTATTCACATCAACATGTTTACCAAATTAAATGCTCAAGCGTAAATTTGACAAATACAAAACAAATGCTACTTTTTTTCATATCATGAAATAAGTCTTCATATATTAAGCACAACGTGAAATAAACCAATGTCAATACAATATAGTACATACCGTAATATTTACGAAAATGTACAGGCTAATACATATTTTTATACAATTATAGGTAGCATCGTCTTGGGTGCAATGGGTGAATGACTTGAATAACACAAATTAACGTGGTATAATGTACATATTTCTTTGGTTAAATGATCCCGTTCATAATTTATATATTTGATCCAAAGATCATAAAATCAACATTAAATGATATTATATTTAATACTAGAAAAATATCTATTTTAAACTTAATTTTCCCAAATTTGGAATAAATAAATCAAAAAGACAGAAATTTGAAGACTAGAAACTATTAATATAAAAGAAGACATTAAATTTACATAAACAAATTTATTATTAAAAAAAACTCACTGTAAAGGGCAAACCATAACAATAAAAAAAATTAAAAACCCATTTGTAATCCCTAAGACTATGATGATTTAAAAATCAATTTTGATAATAGATTAATCAAATTTACTCAATACGGAGGTCTAGTTCCTCCGTCCCTACACAACCATTTTCTATTGTCGAACTCTACCTCGGCTTTGTTTTGTCTTCACGCACACCTAATATCACGAACACATTTTTGAAAACGATACCTACTTTTCACATAGTGCTCATTAACTTATATTTGTTTGCTTCTTCTCTTCATGGATGTGTTTTTCATAAATTATTTCTATCCAATCCGGTTTTAAACAAAATGTTAAATTCCTCATTCTTCCAAACTAGGGAACAGAGCTTCACATTAATTCATATTTTACAGGTACAAGATACCGGCAATCAGTATTAGTTTGCAAAACATTCTGGGAAAAAAATTAAACAATTTTTAT